TTTTTGCAGCATTGCTAATTATGCTTGAGTTTCTTGTATAATTATTTTGATGGCTCAACAAAATTATTTTCAGATCTGTATCTAGCTGAATATTTAAGTATTTCAACATAAACGACTTCTTGCCGTGTGTATTTTTATAAAATTATGAAAATTAATAAATGTTGTAATTATTACTAAACAAGAAATTATTAGACCATTAAAAGTACTATCACTAAGTTTCATATTAAATAGTAAAAACGAAGATTAGAATAATTAAATTTTAAATGAAAAGAAGAGAATCAACAATTTCTCTCTAAATAAAGAAAAGAGAATGTTTCAAAGTTTATAGTGGCAATTCTATTTAGATTTGTGCTGAAATTTTGTTTTCAGTTTTTTATTTGACAAATACGACAAATCTGACTTGACATAAATATCATTTAAACAGAAGTCATTTAAAAAGAAATTAGTTTTGTGAATTTAGTTATTGATGTGATTCAAGATTTCTTCATATTATAACACTGTCGGGTAAAATAAATATTCGTCAGGAAATATGGTGAGTGCTGTAAACATGTCTGTACACTCGGTATATAAGGTAACGTAAAGAGCAGTTGTTTGCAGTTACGTAGCTAACTTATGGATATGAGTATACTCGTATAGCGTTGTATTAATGCGACAATCAGAGTCAAGGAAAGATGCTCGGCTGAAACCTTAATTCTCACGGTAATTTTTTTCTCTGCCACTTGCACGCAATTTATACGCGATACTCCAAGATCAACATTAAAAGATTTATTCCAGTCCACCTTGGAGTATTTCGGCGAGTTTGTAAATCCAAAATCCTTTTAATGACGAATAGAAGAAATCGTGATGAACCGGTTTATTTTTCTCTTTGTGTTGTAAAATTTTCCACGCGAAACAAGGTTGACAAGCTTCCGCTTCGCTGCGAGGACACATTTTAACGAGTAAAATTCTTGTTTCAGACGGCTCTTATCTATCTATTACAACTACTTACATCGTGCATTTATTAACGTTTTTTCAACTATGTTCTGTTTTTATTGCTTAGTAATTGATATTACGTGAATAATCAGTATTATATAATATGATGACGGTGTATTTGTAACAAACCGACTGTTATAGGCGTGCATACTGTTTTATGCAAATTTTCAATGTCAGTTCGTTGGAAGTATTCAGCGCTATACGTATCCACGTATTTTTCTTTAAAAACCGGCAATCTCAAGAAGATCAGTTCCATTCGATTTCGTTCCTTATCAATTTTCGAATATCGCGGATCTCCTTCTGTGCGACATAAGGTCTGTTTTTTGTGGCTGAACCAGTGTTTGGAACTTAAAGTGAAATAGGTAGAGGAAAGTCGCCGATACTGACATAGGTCTCCTAAAGTGACACCCCCTTATTTTTCGGAAACTAACTATTGCACTTTATTAATACTAATAAAATCATGATCTGTTTAGCTAATTAAAGAAGTACAAACTCATAATT